GTAAAATTTCTTTTCTAAGGAGAGGTTAGTAAAGTTTTCTAATATGTTAAAGTATTTTAATAAACATCATTCATTATTCTGTAAAGCAATAAAACTATTTGTTTTAATAATAATGCTCAGGATTCCCATTAACATGATTTACAATTTTGTGAGTCTTGGATAGATTTATCTTTGTTTAACTGTTAACCTGACCATGTTGTCCAGTAGTATGGTATACCTAAAATTATGGTCAGTTCTTTAACTTGTATTCCTTAGAATTTGCCTAGATAAGATAAGTCCTAGTTGTATTAGAATTTAGAATTACAATATTAATTATTATGACCTGCATCGCACATTATCTAAAAAATTAACACTAAAGCCTTTTCTTCTTTGATCCCACTCTTGTTTAATGATTTCTTATATTTTTATTAGACATTTAATAAAACTAATTTTATCTACTTATTTTATTTGCGTTTAATGATCTTATTTTTTGATTATTTTAATTCCGACATAGGTGATAGGCTGATAGGATGAACTGGGTGTTTGACACCTTGAATATTAGTACTAAATTAAGTACCTACTAAGTCCTGACTAATATTCAAAATTAAGGAAGACCTAATCTTTACTTTAGTTTAGTGTTTTGGAGGTCTAGCCCACGAAAACACTCGACCACTCACATATTTGTAGGTACACACATACACACACTGCATAGGTATCAGACTATCACAAATTTACTAGATCTTCAACTCGAAACTTTTCTTCCACTTAATCCCGATCCAAATTCTAAAAAAGTGGATTAGTGGAATATATTTTCCGATGGAAAATTTCAATTCTAATGAAGCGATAAAAACACCGTGTAGGATTTCTAGAGCATGGTTATAAAGGAACTTCTTTTTAACTCATAATAATAATATTTTAAATATATTATAAATAATATATGCAACGATAGATTCATAGGTAAGTAACTAATACTTCTACTATCATTTTATAAAAAAGTCCTTACCCGCGACTTGTGCATGCCCAGTAGTTTAAAATATTTAATGCTCAAGCAGAAACAATTAAATAACTAAACTGAACCAACGCTCCCAACATCAATTAATAAAACCCTTAAAACGGAAATAGATTTTTGCTTTGCTCGTCTTTATGAGCCATCACAATCCTACAAGACGATGGGATCAAATTATTGTGAATTCTTTAGAGATTTAAAATAGACAAAACCGTCAGTTATGCATTTATTACAAATCCAACTCCTCATCATAATTATCAGCTTGTGAACAATCAACTGCTGTATATGTATGGACACATGGACCTCTTCTATAGTAGGTAGCTCAGTGGACACAGCACCAGACGTTTCCAACCTATGGATAGCCTGGGTATTTCACCAGTTGGCGCTCAAAAGCTTGAAATAATGCTCTATTTAATTTGTAGCGTCACACAAATTTTTCAAAATTATTTTGTGTAGCCACAACTTTCAATAAACGTTTTTAGATTTCTCTCTTACCTAATTTACATTTATTAATATATTACGCTTAACGAATTATTATTATTTTTGTTACCTATAGTTTCTACGTTTTCTCAGTTTGTTTTTAACAAAACTGGATTAATAGTTATTACCACGGGACAAAGCCAAGTGGGCACCATGAACTTAGTTATGGGTTGTTTTCTGAAGAGATAAATTTTATGAATATATGTTACTTTTGGTAAATCTTAAGTTTTAATATTATTATTATTATTGTCTGGGTATCTGTATAGTTTTCTCATCTGGTTGGTTTCTATAAATATATAATTATAAATTAAAATGAAAAGATAAATATACATAAATATCAATAAAATAAAATAAATACAAAAAATACACAAATAAATAAAGATTATTATTATTATTATTAATAATAATAATAATATTTTAGTCAAAACCTTTACGCTATAGGCATATAAAAATCACTTTTTTACATAAGATAGGTACTTATATTATAATATTTGATAGAATATCTAAAAGTACAAAATCTAGTTATTAGTTACAGGTCTTATTATTTTCAGTACATAAAAAAGTAATTAAATCAAGGATACTTACAGCCATCGAATCGCTTCAGTTGATCTTGGTAAAAACACAAAAAATAAAATAAAAATCACGAAAAAGTAGCGCATCACAGAAAGTGGCCAGGCAAAAAAAAGTAATAGATCACTGGTGAGCAAGTAATTCACGAATTACCTATAGCGCGCACAATTTTGGCGGGAAAATGTAGAGTTTCGGTAATAACGGTCGCGACGCCTGTCGTTGAGCATTTGTCAGCGACAGCAGAATCCGAATGGTATCCATACGGTGCACGCCTGCGAATGCGAACGCCGCCCGCTACCGCTCGCCAGTGGTCAGGACAAGACGTGCCGCCCCGCTAACTCTCTATCAAAGACTATAAAATGTTTATATTCTTGCCAGAAGAGTATCTTGCTGCTTATGGAATGGATTGTTATTGATACCCACACTTTACAATATCATGTTTAGCATAAGTTTGTAATTCGATATCGGCAATCTTCTTCCTAGACCAACTGAATTAATTTAGCAATTGCATTCACATTTTAGATCTTCGTATGAGACATTTAGCAAAATTAGGCCAACACGCGAGGGCACAGTCCGCCTGATGGTAAGTAGATGCTGTGGCCCAAAGGCACCTACATCTACCATCAATCGAATCAAATTTATATGCGTCGTCAACTCCGTACGATTGAGCGACCCATTACCATTAAAAATAGGAGATTGTTTTAATGTTAAAAAATTGTTGATATTCTGATCTGCTACTGAGAATTTCTTGATCGAAAACGACCTAACGTTTAAAAACTAAACTGATTATTATCCGACCCGGGATTCAATCTTAGATAATCAGCGGGCGCGCTTAGTGAGTTAATCAAACTTAACGTTATATTAATGTAATAACTACGTCAGAGGTATTATAGAAATAGTTATTGCTGGCAAGTAGCTCAGAACAACACGGGCACAGCGCGCTTACCGGAGGCAGACAGTGTACTGGCAAACCACTCTCTTATAATTCATCATTAGTCTAGAAAAACTGTTCGTGGAATGAAAGTCAAATCTTATATCTAGGCTAACGAGTTTCTGGCGACCGACAAATGGCGGACATGTTTTGGACCAGTTATGTACCTATAGTGAGTACAGTAACCAAATCTTTTGATTTATTATATTAAGTTTCTTAGCCATAATATTATCTCTGAAAACTCCCATTTAATACCCGCTCTTGTCTCACAGAGACTTAAAAATTGTAGGCATTAAAATATTTATTGTTACAATGCAGCGCATTACAGAGCGGGCGGGCGGGCGGACTCGCTCCCCACGCACGGCACAACCTACTTATCAATTCAGTCGAGCTCGAGTGGGCATTCGTTCATTGTGAAGCATTGTGCCGTTTTTGCCTATTATACGCGGATTCGGTGCTTATTTAACCGTTCACATGCCACTAGAGCACCCGTGAGTGCAATTAATTAAACCCTTGAATTATTTTTAAGTCAACACAATGATCTTTTTGTATTAAGTCTCCACTTGAAGCAAGTTTATATTATCTGACCTATAACTTTCAATCACTTTAAAAACTTTTAATCATAACCGCGGCAGAAGTATTGAAACAAAGTTTAATTACTTATTCATTTTGTAAAATACATGAATTTTGATTACTATTTATATACAAATTACTTTTTATTTAACATTAATTATTTTACGTGTTAGAGCCATGCTGCAGCTATATTATGGTTGTAGCACGAATGGGTCGGCTCGACCGGGGAAGGACCACGCTCTCACAGAATACCAGCGTAAAATAGCAGCTTAATGCTGCTGTGTTTCGTATGATGATTGTAGAGTACCGGAAACCCTTTTAATACATTCTATCGTAGTCCTTAGGGGTGCTAACGCATCTGAATTTTGATTCTCAGTAAAAGATAAATGTAGATGTCTATGGGTTATCCAGGCGACCATCAGGTAGACCGTGTGGTAGTTTGTCACCTTCATTCTCAAAAAAATATATTGAAATCAAATGACGAATGAAATCTATGAGGCTCATATTCAACATGCTGTAATGCAAAATCAACACTGCGTCTTGCCTGCATAAAAATATTATACGTAATCCTGATATAATTTTCCATATTTAGCGAGCGATTATACTTAGAAACTGTACTGTAACAATTTGAATGCATAAACTAGTAAGTACAAAACTGCTAGAACACTGAACGGAATAAACAGCCGATTGGTCTCTTCGTGGCCGACCCATAGATAAATAAATATGTAGAAAGTTAGGCCGATCTAATCGCGGAATAATAAAAGTTGTATTGACGTAGAGGAAGTCAGCCACGGTATAGTGATATATTAGTACATAGTATAGTTTTTTATAAATTTTTATAATTTTTTTACGTTACAATCATAGAGGTATGATAGAGCAAAGCTGTAGTTGTATTATGGTTTCATTACGAATAGATCGAATCGTCCTTTCCCGGACTCATAACCAAACATGAGCCCTTGAGTACGTAGTACTATTATTTATTCTGTGCCTTAAGTAAAAACAGAGAACCAGAGGGCATTTTACCGGTAACGAGGTATTCCATACAAACATAAAACATATTCCATCTTAGTCCCCAGAGCTGACAACGCATCTGCATTTCGATTTTAAATCGAGGTAGGTGTCCCGTGTCCATGGGCCTCAACAGTCACCATCAAGTTAGTGTACTGTTAAGATGTTTTTATTTGTGTACTGTGTGTTCGTTTGTCACCCTTACTTTATATAAAAGGCTAGACTAACTTGCTATAAGTTGGTTTGTCAATAACAAATAAATAAAATTGAAATGTCTGTTTGCAATGCCAAAATAATAGCTGATTACTAAATGAATATGAAATTATATATGGTAATTATAAAGACGGATGAACAGGAAATTCACGTCACTGAGATGAAAATGCTACGTTGGTCTGGAGGAGTTTCTAGAACAGATAAAATAAGAAACGATTACATTCGTAGTTACAGGTTGCTATGACGAAAAACTTAGAGAAAACCGTCTACGCTGGTTACGGACACATGATGAGACAGGATGATGACCATATGACTAAAAGAGTTATGAACATAGAAGAGGGGAAGAAAGGCCGTGGACGACCACCAATAACCTGGCTGCAAACACTAAAAAACGACCTGAAATCTACTAACATATCAAAAAGGACAACCCACAATCGCACGATGTGGCGCAAGATTACTAGGAGGGCTGACTCCAATAAAATGGGACAATAGCCAGGGAGAAGATGAAGAAGAAGATATGGTCTCTGCCTGTCTGTTTGTCCTGGCTAATGTCCGATACGGCAGGACCGATTTTCACGGGACTTTAACTGGCAGATAGCTGATGTCATAAAGAGTAACTTAGGTTACTCTTAATTTAAAAACCGCATTAGGGTTCCGCGCAAAAAAATTAACACCCTAAATCATAAGCGTGCGAAATCGCGGGGAACAGCTAGTTTTAAATAAAACTCGTCCACTCTGATAAAACCTTTGTCTGATAAAAAATTTATGTAAGTGGTTGTTTTATCTTAAACTATGAAAAGAATTGTAAAAATATCCGGATAGGGAAATTTTTTTAAGCATACAATTCCCATTGTAGTTTGACAATACGAGTAGTCTTGAGTGGGCAGACTTATAGACTTATGGATTGATGAAGATGTTGATTCTGTACGTATAATGGTACACGCTGGAGGGTGACACCAAGTTTTTTGCAGTTAGCTAAACTACAAAGCATCCGACCCGTTAACCTCCAATCTCCTCAAAATTTTTTAATTTCCTGTAAACCCGCCGTAATTTAAGAGTCTTAATTAAGTTGGACAGTTTCCCTTTAAATCAGTGCTTCTTAGGGTTTTCGTGATGAGGGAGCATTAGACCGATTTCTTGTCCATAGTCCTAAATTAAGGTAGGATAAGATTGATTTTTAGGTTTGTTCTATAAATAAAACACACGAAACTTTATTATGTGTTGTTTATTACCCCTTATTTTAAAGTACAACACTTGTATTATAAACACAAAGGCCAGTATTTGCGCAATGATCAATCATCAGAAAAATGTTTTAACACATATATTGGGTCCGATTGCGTTTCTTTGGCGCACTTAAATAATGCCGAATAATAGACTTAAATTAGTCTGAAATTCGTACTAATATTATTGCTATTGCGTTTGTTAATTAATTACGTCCACAACGTCCAATTCGGACTTAAATTATGTCTACGCATGTCTTTTGCTATTCCGTTTCTGACAATTTGACAGTTCGTTGGCTTTAAATGAACTTATACGTCTAGGAAGTGTTATTCTTTAAGTTCGCACCTAATAGGTGTCTCAAAAGTAAGTTCACATTTGCTTATCTTATTACGCGAAAGCAACTATTCTGAGGGGCGCGGGGGGGTATGTCAGTCGGTAGTCTGGCTCTTGGGAATTTAGTCGCTATGGAGCGTTTCTCTGGTGCGGACCGTGCGTTGTGCGTACGTGAGTTTTACAAAAACGGTAATTCGGCGACTGTAGCGCGTAGAAAATTCTGCAGTATTCGACATATTCGTCACTTAAATGATGCGCCTAGCACTCGTCTCATTGCAAAATGGGTTGAGAAGTTTGAAGAGACTGGGTCAACTCTGGAGAAACCAAAATCTGGGCGACCAAGAACATCAAGAACAGCCGAAAACGTGGACAGTGTTACTCAGTCTATTCGAGATGATCCAAACCTCTCGATTCGGAAGCGTGCTGTTGCTTTAAATGTGCACAGATCTTCATTATGCCGCATTTTACACAAAGATTTAAAGCTGCACCCGTACAAAATTCAGTTAGTGCAAGAACTGAAGCCTCAAGATGCTGGTCAGAGGCTTGCCTTTGTAAATCAGATGATTGAGCGCTTTCCAACGTTCACCAACATCTTGTTTTCCGATGAAGCCCATTTTCACCTGAATGGGCATGTAAACAAGCAAAATTGTCGTTACTGGAGTGCAACCAACCCAAAACAAAAACATCAGAAACCGCTACATTCACCCAAAGTCACCGTATGGGCAGCGATGTCGGCGCGAGGAATTATCGGCCCTTACTTTTTTGAAGATGGAAGGGGACGCACACTCACAGTGAATTCAGAGCGTTATGTGGAGATGTTAGACGAGTTTTTCGTACCCCAACTGCAAAACTTTCCTGGTTACAACCAAAGAACATGGTTCCAGCAGGATGGAGCAACTTCACACACGTCCAACAGATCTCTGCCTCGAGTTCGAGAAATTTTTCCGAACAAATTAATCTCCTGGCGAGGTGACATAAATTGGCCTCCACGGAGTCCCGATTTAACGCCTATGGATTTTTTCCTGTGGGGTTATGTCAAATCAAAAGTTTACGCTAATAAACCGACTTCCCTGGCACAATTAAAAGAAAATATCCGCCATGAAATGGCAGCCATCACGGAGACTACCTGCCGAGCTGTCATAGGCAATTTTAGTGCCCGACTAAATGAATGCCGAGAGCGCAACGGTTTACATTTGGACAATGTTATTTTTAAAAAATAAATTCCCAAACAGTGTACTTCAATATAAAATAAACATTTTTTCAATAAAGCTAAGACTTTTCTTTTAAAAAAAAGATTTAAATGTGAACTTTCTTTTGAGACACCTTGTATTTAGTCTGTACGTAAGCTAAGTTTCTTCAGAAAATAGTGAAAAATGTTTCCTTATGGCTGGGCTATCATTCAAAGAAGACACAATGAGGAACGGCAACGGTATGAGTACGAAATTTATATTATAGAAACTGCTTTTCTTGCATACGGTAGGTATAAGCATAACATAATCCAACTTTTTTCGTTGTAGGGCTAAGAGAAGGATAGCGCATCGCCATATTCGGGACCATTCCAACCCTTTCGACGTGCCTGCAGAAGTTTTTACCAAATTATACAGGCTCTCCAAAAGAACTGCGCATTTTTTAGTGGAGTGTCTTCACCAGAATTTAAATCGATAAAGGCAGCACGGAATTCCTGTGCATATCAAAGTTTTGGCTTCACTCCATTTCTTTGGACATGGCGGCTACCAAACAACGGTTGGGCAGGGGCAGTATTTAGGTTTAAGTCAGCCATCTGTAAGCAAATGCTTACAAGAAGTTGCTGATGCAATTATAACTGTTTTATTGAACGGTATGGTGCTATTTCCAGAGACTGAAGAGGAAAGGGCAGAAAATAAACAGAGGTTTTTACAGATAACTGGGTTTTCTTCAGTCTTGGGTTTGATAGACTGTAGTCAAATCTCCATTGTTCGCCCAAAAGACACAGCACTTGTGCCAACGAGATTATTTTTTAATCGCAAAGGCTTTTATAGTCTTAATTGCCAATTTGTATGTAATGCAAAGATGGAAATAATTCATTTCAATGGCACTTTTCCTGGATCAACACATGATGCAGCGGTCTGGCAAGGATCCAGTTTGAGCCAATTATTGGAAACCAATTATGTTAACGGAGTTTCAGCTGGTGAATGGCTTCTAGGAGACTCTGGATATGCCCAACTGCCTTGGCTGATGACCCCGTATGCTGATGCGGATGAAAATACACCTGAGGCTAGATATAATTTAGCGCATACCAAAACGAGGGTTCTTATTGAAAAATGTTTTGGAGTGATGAAAACAAGATTTAGATGCATTCACAAGCACAGGACGTTGCACTATGACCCCGTGAAGGCATCTAAAATAATAGCAGCTGTAGTTGTTCTCCATAACGTGGCAATTAAGAGAAATGAACCTTTAACAGATGAATTGCAACTCGAAGACAGATTGCGGCCAGCAGATGATCCTCCCAGGGATATGAATTTTTTAAATGTGGCAAGAAATATTCGAAATAACATCACAAGACAATACTTTGCATGATGTGTTTTAATTAAAGATTTAAATTAAAGAATTAATAATAAAACTACTAAATATAAAACTTAATTTCGAAAAAATAGTTTATTTATTTTTATCGATCGCTTCGACGAACATGGTAGCGGCACGCATTATGCAATCGCCAAGATACCGAGCGGCCTCTGTCTGCGCATTGGCGAGCGCCATCTGCGCTTAGGCTCCCTCCCTTAAAGCCGCCATCATGGCATCTTCTTGCGGGGTGGCTGAATCGGCTGGCGGCACGAGCGTACGGGGCGTTGCTCGACGCGCGTTGCGGCGCTCGAGGCGCGGAGTGTTGCGCACCACGCCGTCCTCCAGTCTCTGTTCAGGGGTTGAGGCGACGATGTGTTCACGACTGCAACTGATCGTCGCCAGATCCCTATTTGCCGCTGGCATCATCAACGCGTCTACCGCAATTCGACCAATGCGAGATGCTGTCGGTATTGATGACGCATCCGTCGCCATTGAAGTGACGACAGTCGCCCCATCGTGACTCGCCGTCGGTGTCAACACGTCCACCATAGCCGCTTCCTTCGGGGGCTCTTCTTCAGTGTCTGAATGTATATCCTGCATAGTACAATTACAAGGATAAATTCATACAATTGTACCACTATGAAGTCAATTTCAGAATACCATTATGAATAAAACTCTTTTTAACATTTTTAATAACAAAAATTTCAATAATTCTTGCGAAAACTCACACAAAAAATAACCACGACAGACTTGACAACTTGACAGACTAGTGGTGTGGTGTTGCCATTTGCGGCGGCAAACGAACGTAATTATGTCCATTTCCATAGACGTAGAATTAAGTTCAAATTTAGTGACGTGAACTTATTTTAACAGAAACGTAATAGCTTTAGGTTAAGGACATGGACATATTTAGTAAAATTTTAGTCTGTCATTATTTAGGTTCGAAGAGAAACGCAATCGAACCCATTATGTGAAAGAATTGTATGATGCTTTTGTGAATCCCTTCGTGTGCCTTCAAGGACCACCAGTGGGGCCTGGACCATTGGTTTGGAACCACTGCTTTGAATAGTATTAAGTGGGAATCGGAAAGGTTAGGCGTAGCTAGACTTAGGGTTTTCGATCGGTTTACGTCTTCGTTTTGAAATCGTTCTTAAAATATTATTGATTAATTAGCGGTATAAAGCGTACCCCGAGTTTAATTGTAACTATAGTCCGCCCATAAAAGTAATGTTACAATTAAGGTAAAACGTTCTTTTTCCTTTTCTGAATTTATTGGTAATTTGGAATACGTTTACGATTTGCCGCCATTTCATTTTTTTTTTTCACCGTGATTGTTACATTATATTCTGAAGTAAAGCGTTATCGTTAACACTAACAACGCTGCAGGTGTCATTTGACCCGAATTTAAACTTGTAGCGCTAATTATTTTGTCACTTCATGTTTGTTTATACAGTTTTGTACTTACCTCGTGACTTAGTTATACCAGGCCTCTGGCACACTTGCTACCTGCGTGAAATATTTACCTATAATCGAGAGTCACCGACGGTGTAATACGCAGTCGGGGCTAGCGGGTTTAAGGTGATTGATGAATTTTAACGCTGTTTACGTGAACCTTCGATCAACATATTGTTGATCGAAGACGTGACTAGTATTTTGTAAACACTTGTTGTAATTTTTGTTTAGTGTTTAGTATATTTAATTGTAGGATAAAATAGTTCAATATTTTTAATCATCATCATCATCATCATTACAGCCCTTCACAAGTCCACTGCTGAACGTAGGCCTCCCCCAAGTAACGCCACAAAGCACGGTCCTGAGCCACCTGCATCCATCGACCTCCTGCAGGTCTTACCAGGTCGTCACTCCATCTAGTGGGGGGTCGCCCTACACTACGCCTACCGGTACGTGGCTGCCACTCGAGAACCTTTCTTCCCCATCGGTTGTCGGTTCTTCGAGCTATATGGCCAGCCCATTGCCACTTCAGTTTACTAATCCGTTGCGGCTATATCGGTCACTCTGGTTTTACTGCGGATATCCTCATTTCTGAGTTTATCACGCAGAGAAACTCCGAGCATAGCATATGGAGAGCCATAGCTCGCTGAGTGGCCTTGAGCGTCTTCATACGGCCAGCAGTGAAGGACCACGTCTCAGATCCGTAAGTCATCACTGGCAACACGCACTGGTTGTACACTTTAGTTTTCAGAGATTGAGGTATACCTGACGAGAAGATGTGTCGTAATTTCCCGAACGCTGCCCAGCCGAGTTGAATCCGTCGATTGACCTCTCGGTCGAAGTTGGACTTACCTAGTCGGACTATTTGTCCCAGGTAAACGTACTCGTCAACAACTTCGAGCATAGTGCTCCCAACAACTACCGGTATAGGTGTGACATGGACATTAAACATGATCTTTGTTTTGTCCATGTTCATCTTAAGACCTATCCGTTGGGAGACACTATTGAGGTCATTGAGCATAGTGCTAAGGTCCTCCAGCGATTCTGCCATAAGGACTATATCGTCGGCAAATCGAAGGTGAGTGATGTACTCGCCATTGATGTTAATACCGTATCCTTTCCAGTCCAGTAGCTTGAAAACGTTTTCCAACGCAGCGGTGAAGAGTTTCGGGGATTCGGCCTCTAAATAAATATATTAAAATCATATATCAATGGAAACGTTATTGAATAAGCTATCAGATTATGCATAACATATATATGTTATATATATGTATGTTATATATATCATATATATGTTACAAATAGTTTGCTATCACTCGACGCCATATTTGACAGATGCGCATATTATTTGAGACGCCAGAATATGGCGTTTGGACAGACGAGGGGATATATTTGATAAATTATAATGGCAAAACTTCGAACCTACTACTATAACTATTATTATATTGTTGCGTGAATGGATTCTTAATGAGCAAACAAAAGGATTCAGATATATCATTTTTATGTTACTTAAGAATAATGAAAGATACATTTATTCAATTTTTTTTGTTAAATAAATACTTATAGCAAAAAAGAATTAAGTAATAATTTAAATACAAAAAGTACTTTATTTCTAAACTTAGTTAAAATTTACTTCACTATCTAAGTAGGTAACTTACTTAGTACATGTCTTTTGTAATAAAAATAGGTACCTATTTTAAGTTATAATAACACAAAGCACTGAAATTAAAACTTTGTTTACAAGATTTTTAACTACATAATTAGAATACAATCACATTTCGCTATCATCTCGCTATCGCTACTTCGATCAACAATACCAATATTGTTAAGATTCGATAAGTCAGAATAGGTACCTTACCTATTTTACTTACCATTTCGCAATGTATTAATTTTTTTATTTATACTCTTTATTGGACACAAAATATTACAATAACACACCAACCTTTATTTATTTATAAATTTAAGTACAATTAGGTGGCCTAATCGCTAAACAGTAATTTCCAGGCAAACCTTGGTAACGTAGTACTGCATATTATTTATCCTATTCCTTGGTGAAGGAGATCCGTAAATAGAAGTGTGCATAAATAGTACCTACTTACATGTGTTTTTAATATGGTGCAATATCACTATATTATTTTTTTGTGCGGATATTATTTCCTATTCTTATATTCCACTTAATTAAATGTGGAATCAAATCATTATTGAAGGTTAGCGTGAAATTGGAAAGGTTAGGGATTCTTATACCTATATTGTATACAAATTTTTCTCGAATATTGAGTTGTTCTTGAAATTTATGGTATTCACTGCGATTGCGCCTGACGAACGGTGATGAAGCAGTCATAGATGAAAGCGGGCAAACATTGCAGCTTTTATTATTAAACCGTATAACTAAATAAAAATAAACACAAATAGTTTTAAAGAAATTATAAACTTCCAAATTGTCGCTGTCAGAAATCGAAACAGGGATTTGCTTGTGATATATAAGTATGTTAAAGTGCTAATTGGCGAGCAAAAGGTAAAATCTTTAAAAATGAAATTTTTGTTCAATAAATATTTCTTCATACTTGAGGTTTTTATTATTGTATTTAAAGGTTTAATAACTCAATACTTATATTACCATATGAGTTAAAAATATCATTTTGAACCGCAGCATAAAATATGAGATACCTAGGAATTAGTTTAATTTTATAGCAAATAATTGTTACAATATTTTTTTAATGTGAAGCCCAAATTTTAATGTAAAAAATTAAATGGATACATCATGTATTGAGGTTTTTAAAGAATATTTCTTTTAGTCTTACAGTATATAAAATTTTAATAGCGCCATCTACTTAATTCTATAGGTGAAGTTATTTTATCGAACGAAAATTGATTGATTCTCACGGTGGTACGTAAAGATTACGCTAGATGGCACAAACACGCTATCGGCTAATTTAATATTTATATTACCTTAAGAGCTAAAATATCATTTTGTACGGTTTATCAAAATTGAAAGTGAATAATTATATAATAAATAGTCATTATTTTATGTATGAATACATGTATATGTAAAATTTGCAAAGTTTTATCTTCTTATTATACCATGTCTAATTCCTGTCGTAGGCTGTTCTTCTGTCCCCCCCGAACGGGTTCCCGCCTTGTCGTGGCGGGGGGCTTAGAAGCCGTGGCTTGGGCACCCACGGCGAAACAAAGAGGAACCCATATGGCTGGTCCGAGGTGGAGGGCCGGCCCGAGGTGGCCACTCCGAGTGGGCTTGGGAAGCCCACTTTGGATGTGTGTTGGTGGACTGCGGTGAGAGGTGTGTCCTCCCCACCTACCGCTGCAGCCGAAGGTGGAGTCGCGGAGGAAGAGGAGTGTTGGTATGGCGATGCGCCACTCGCCCTATCCTCCGCGACTCAAACGGGGCCGCACCGTTGATGCAGTGGTGGTGGGGCTGCGGGGGGAGAGGATTGTCGGTATTGCAAGGCGCCGCTCTCCCTACCCTCCGCAGCCGAATCTTGGTTGGCGGCGGATCCATAGACCAGATCCGCCGCTAGGGTCGGGAAGGCTGGTTCTTCTAAGTGCTTGTTTTTCCTGGCCCCATGGCCTTCTTGCATTGGACGCGGGGGCGTCCGTTGCGCAGATCTAATTAGAGGCCGAGAAGGAAGGCGCGCCACGTGTTCTGGTGCGTCTTACCTGTGAAGGAGAACGGAGAGGAATATTCCACTCCCGAGGAGGTGCTGCCATGGGGCGGCAGGCGCTGGTGGGGCTGCGGATGTGTGCGAAAGCGTTCCCGTGGCCCTGCCAATAAGCGACAAAGGTGGAACACCATGGAAAAAGGCTGTTCTTCTGTGCATATAACTTAAACAAAATAATTTCGATGTTTCACATCTGCCAGGCGCCCCTTTTTTAATTTTGTACATAGTTTGTTTGTACTTTGTTCATGCTTTTCTTTTGTTCATGTAATGTATTGTATGTAAATATATTTTTCTTTCGCTCAAGCAAACCCAAACGGCTCTTTTCAAAGCCACCGAAGGTATGCAATTGCATATGTCATACAATCTATCTAGCGGTAGTATGCCTTCTGTGTGCTTTGTTAAACACGTCCTTGACAGCACTGAATATGAAACTAAAGAGCGGAGACAGATCAAGATTGGTATATTTTTATA